AGTTTCTGTTTGAGTGACTAAGAAGTCATGTGAAAGAATACCTCTGCAGTCTTTGTTAGAAATATCTGCTAAGGAGACTCAGGCAGGCTGGAATGGAATTTGCATTGAAGTGGGCTCAAAACAGGCCAAGAAAACAAATGATCTTGGGTTCTCAGCTATAATCTTCTGATCTCCACTTTCAAATTCCAAATGGCCCCCTTGGTGCTAAGGGAAGTCTTAGAGGAGTCTCAGATGTTGGTGTTCTTTGGAATTACTTTGCAGAACTCACAACTATGCTCTGACTCCATTGCAGAGAACAGGGTCGTGCTTGAAAATTCTGCAGGTATTTCAGTTATCTGTGTGGAGTTTGGTTCCCGGGCAGAGCTCTGCTGGCTTGGCTTGTTGAGCCTGTCCTGTGTCTACTCCTTCATTTCAAGAGAGGTTGATACTCCTTCCTTTTTCTGCCTTAGAGAGCTGGAAGGAGGATCATAGAATAAGAATAGGAAACATGAAGTTCTAGTGAGGGCGATATAGGATTTAACTCAGAGCCTTGCATCTGTGGATGGACAAAGTGAAAAGATACTGTGAGGGAGGCTTTTGGGGGATGTTGGAGAAGTTGGTAAAGAAGAGATAAGAGGAACTTATTTATAGAGAGAGGAAAAGAGCCCTGATTGTCAATCTCCCTCTTCTCTCCCCTTCCTAACAGTGGAGCAGACAGATCCAGGAAGTACCGAGGGGGCGATAACCCTCACCTGTTTCATCTCTGCTCTCCTCAGGCACTTCTGTAGGAGCCTAGCACTTCAAGGGACATGGTTTGTGAGCCACCTGGGGAGCAGAAAGAACTCTAGGCTTTGGAAGCAGGCCGAATCCCAGCTTGACCCTGTCCTCCAGCAAGCCTTTAAAGCTCTCTGGCCAGGGCTTCCTTTTTTCCAGTTGTACTCACCAGGCCCTTGGCAACTCTGCAACACTCTGAGTCTATGGAAAGTGCTTTGGAATGAGTGAGGAGCTGAGGAAACAAAATCAGGGTGTTTGGTTAGTGGTGGAAAGAAGAGAGGAACTGAGTCCAGGGCAACAGCTGAGTCTGTGGGGCTGGTGGGAGAAGCTGAAAGCCCGGCTCCCAAAAAAGGGCTGATGGCGGAGGGGGCATCCAGAGAGGAACAGGACTGGTTTGTGCCATGCTTAGCCTGGATGGGTGGGACTGGCCCAGGACTGGCTTGGGCCTTCTGTGGTTTCTGGGGCTGAGCTGGGGACCCTCTATTCATATGCTCTGACATCAGTGTCCAGGCCTATCTGGGGCTGGAGCTGTTGTGTTGGCAGCAGCACATACAGTATGGTACCTCATGTCCTGGAATGGGCCCAAACTCATTTTCCCAGGACTCAACCCACACAAGGGTCCTCAGTGCCTTCTTACACCTTCTGCTCCAGCTACCAACAGGGGCTGTAGCCAGGGAAAGAGGGAAAGACCTGGCACTGGTCTTGGATCTCAAGAAATTGAGCTGAATGTAATGGGAGGCTCCTTGGGTCTCTGATGTGCACCCCAGGGGAGACTTGGGCCCAATTGCACAGCTGCTTCCTGGGTTGTAATCTCTAGGGACCCAATGACATAGCTTGTTTCATTAAGGGACTGTATTAGAGAAGTTTTTTTTTTAGCTCAGGAAAGAAAGTCACAGGGCATGAAGCTATCACGCTCAGTCTTTTTCACTTCAAATTGTGTAGCAGATGGCCAAGGGCAGCACAGTACTAAGCTGTAAACACCAGGGAAGGGTGTAGACATAAATGTGTGCATACATGCATACACTCAACTTCCTGACCAGGAAGTGGAAACACACAGCGTGAAGGTCATGGCAAGCTAGCGTCATACCCCATTGGGAATCCTCTTACTCTGACAGGGTCAGAGAGTCTTTTGAGAATATCAGAAATGTTACAGGAAGTCAGAACTAAAGTCCATGTGTCTTAGTATCATTGCCACGACTGCCATCATTGTTATTACTACACCACCACCATCACCATCATTATCATCATCACCATCATCACAACCATCATCATCTTCATCATCGTCATCATCAGTCAACAGGAATCTGTGGAAAGGTTCCACAGAGGAGAAGCTTCAACCACTGCTACTACAAGAACAAATGCCAGGCTATGGGAGACCCCTAACCTAGGAGCCCCCAGTAGGTACCCTCCCCATGGGGAGGGCCTAGGAGCACAATCCTTGGGGTGAGGGTTATTTGGCTTAGCAGCTACAGTGGTTCACGATCTTAATGTGTTAGAATTGCTGAAGAATTTTTTTTTTTTTTTAAGTCTGGATGCTGGGGTTACAACAGAGACTGTTTAAATCAGAACCACTGAGGAAGGAGAGGAAGTATGGGACCAAGAACTAGGTGATTCCACCATGCAACTATGTTTCATGGGTGTTATAGACCAGCACCTCTCACACCATAACTGAGGATTTTGTTAAATGCTGACTCTGATCAGTGGGTCCTGGCAAGGGACAGAGAGCTGTCTCCAGCAAGCTCCCAGGTGATGCTGAGGCAGCTGGTCCCAGACCACACTTTGAAAAGTGAGAACCCTGCTCAGAGGTTGGGCCATCTCCTCACAACTCTGAAGTCAAATGGCCCCAGCTAGTTATTAGCTATGTGACATTGGTGAGGTCCTCAGTGTCTGGTTCCGACCTCATTTATAAAACGGGGCTTCAAGTAATACTTGTTTTCCAGAAGCAAGTAAGAGTAAGTAAAATCAGTGAGATTAAGGAAGTTCATGCTTTCTATTGCCTTACCCTGAATAATTATAAAAGCATATCTCACCTTGTGTATATTATATGTCTTGCTGCTTGGAGGACTACCAGTCTTTCCTTGGGCTAAAGCAAATTCCTGCCATGGATTCTTCTCCAGGCTAGGGGTTAGGAAACTAGAGGTGCAGGGGCAGAATCAGTACTTAGAGGGAGTGGAAGTACTTAGGTGGTAATGAAAGCATTTTTCCCCCCGGTACTAGGAATTGAACCTAGGGTGTCATGCATATTAGTCAAACATTGTACCACTGGATTATATCCCCAGCCCCTCAGCCTCCATTTAAAAAAAATTTCCTTTTTAGTTGTAGATGGACAAAATATCTTTATTTTATTTATTTACTTTTATTCAGTGCTGAGGATCGGACCTAGTGCCTCACACATGCTAGGCAAGCACTTTACCACTGAGCAATTACCCAACAAGCCCCCATTTTAAAGTATTTTATTTTGAGACAGGGTTTTGTGAAATTGACTATGACCTTGCACTTGCAATCCTCATGCCTCAGTCTCCTGAGTAACTGGGATTTGCAGGCGTGGGCCACCACATCTTGCTATGAAAGAAAATTTAAATGAGTAACATCTAGCATCCCACCCTATCCACCCCCCACCACCGCCACCAACTAAGGGATCTTACTTGTACCTGTATGTAACCTCTTTTAGCACTTTCTATGGGTCAGCCTGTGACCTGGGAGTACAGAATTAAGACATGGTTTCTACCATCCATGAGCAGTCTGGAGCATGAACCAAGAGGGAAGGCACCTTCAGGAAGGGACTGAAGTCACTCTGGAAAGGGGTTTCCTGTGCCCGCTGAATATATCACAGACCAGGAGTTGGCAGTTCTGGGTTTTTTACCCCTTAGTCACCTGGTAGCCACATGTCTGGGGCAGGTCAAAGACCATCTACTAATTTGGCCCTAAAATTTGTCTGGCAGTAATGAAGGAAGTTAAATGTGGTCATGTTTGTGAAAGTGCTTGCAGAAAACTTTATATATTAGTATAGGGCTCCTTTGTTATAAAAAATCCCAAAGCTTTCCATCCTTCTGAATTTCATGTAGGCTGCATAAAGGGACTAATGAGAAAATCTCCCTTCCTGACCCTGGAGGCTGCCCCAGCTTTCTGAGAACCAGGGAGAGGGTACTCTGAGGCTGAAAGACTTTTCTTTATGGGACACAGAGATGGGAGCACCAGGCTTGGCCTGAGATGAGAGAAGGGTGTCTATACCCAGCAGAGGGGTGGGGAGAAAGAGGCCTTGAGAGTCAAGGGAATTGGGGTTGTCTCAGCCACCTCAAGGTGAGTTATATGCAGTCCCCTGATCCCCATAAGCCTGCACTGTCCTCCTATGGTGGGGCCTCCTCTTCAAACAGATCTCAGTCTGGGCAGGAGGGGCAAAAGGAATAGGCCCAACCCTTGCTTCCCACCCCATTTTCCAAAATTATTAAACTTGACCTTTGGCAGCAGTCTCTGGCACAGACTGGGCTCCTGTATGCTCTCTCCTGCTCCCTCTTATGCCCTCCCTCTCTGGGTAAAGCTACAGGCCCTTAGAAGGGGATCCCCTTAGAAGGGGTTGGCTGAGGCCACTGGGAAGCCCAGGCCTGCCTGTTTTGGATATCTCCTCTTTAGTCCCTGTCCCCTCTAATCTAAGGTAGTGAGGCCAGCAAATGCCTGCCATTAAGGGGACAGAGTTAGATGTGTGACTTAATAAGGTTGAGAGCCACAAGTAATCCCCTAAGTACTTTGCCATGTAACCTAAGATTATCTGGCCTGCAAACACCTGTTTTCACCCCTTTGCTGATAGCAGTATAAAAAGCATGCTGGTTAATGACTCTAGGAACTGACCAGGGGTGGAATGTACAAACATTGTCCTATCTTGGAAGTGTCTCCTCGTGAGCCAGGTGGCACGTGCCTGTCAGCAAGGTTGAAGAAGGACTGTAAGGGCTCACCCAAGTTTCCAACCATTGTAATCATCAGGACCTAATGGGGACTCGAAGGTCGGGGATAGGTCTTTGGGGCTCTTGGGGTAGTATATCATCTAACTCACTTAGTGATGGACGATGGGTCAGTCCACTAACATCTTGGGATGGAGGCAGGTGATCATGACAACCTGGGGAGGGAGGCATAACCCTGCATACCAGGCACACGCCATATTCCCATCAGCGGGAGCTAGATTCTTGTAGACTCTTGAGAAGCAGAGCAAGTGCCAACCCCGTGAACTGACCAATCATGTTCTAATCATTTAGAACTGCAAGTCCCTGCTTCGGGTGGCACAGAAGATGTTGGCAATTTGTTGGAGAATCATTTCTCTGCTGGAGACGCAAGTCTAGAGGAAAAAGAAAGGGCGCTTAATGCAGATGCGGCCCCTGGAGACAAGAATCTGCTCCTTCACTACCCAGACCACAGGGAGGCTGAGAGCTCGGAGCAGACCGCCACCGGGGCCCCTCCTGCTGACACTGGCCCAGGCCCCGAGCCAGAAGCCAGCCTCTCCAATGCCTCAGCCTCAGAGTCAGCTCCACCTGGGGATGCTACAGGGACTGGGGAGGAAGAGAAGGGGCCACCAGTGGCAGGCACCCTCCTTCCAGGAGGGGATGAGGGTCCCGTGGAAGAGGAGAGACCAGAGCTCAGTTTGGGAGAGGGACCAGGAGAGGAAGAGGCTGGGCTGGGGCACCCCACTTTGGGAACTTCCAGTGGGGAGGCAGAAGGACAGGAGGAGAGTGACAAGGAAGCCAGGGGATTCCTAGGAGACAGCTCCATGCAGGGAACAGTATCAGGGGTGACAGAGCCTGAAGCCTTGGGGGCCTCTCCTAGGGGAGAGGATAAAGAGGTCCACACCCCAGAGGCAGAAGGCAAGGGCAGCCCAGGGCCTGATCACCAGCTGGTAGAGCCAAATGGAGCCCCCATCACCACATCTGCTGGAGAAGAGTCAGAGAATGACAAGGACACAGAAGCTGGAGAGGGGGCTGAGGACCAGCCACAGCCCCAGGCCGATGATGCCCTGGAGGCAGAAGGCGAGGGCATCCCAGAGCCTGACCACCCACCAGCAGAGCTAGATGGAATCCCTGTGGCCACACCTATGGGAGTAGAGTTGGAGGCTGAACTGGACACAGAAGCCGGGGAGGGGTCCAAGAACCTGGGGGAACCCAGCCTCAGCCAGGAGGCTGGCCTAGCCACAGAGGCCAGTGAAGAGTCTGGGGGTGCCCAGAGCTCCAGCACCGGGGAGACCCAGGAGGACCTTCCCCCTGAGGGCTGGGCACCAGGGATGCCTGAGGAGGAGCCAGATGAGGCCTCCTCTGAAGAAGAGGGTGGTGAAGAAGGTGAAAGTGAGGAAGAAGGAGGAGTTCCATCCAAAGAAGAGTCTGGAGAAGACAGTGGCGATGGGGCTAGCTCAGAAGAGGAGGGGGGCACCTCCCAGGAGTCTGGGGAGCCCCAGGAAGCAGCAGGAGCCACGAACTCTGGGCAGGAAGGGGCCCAGCTTGGCACAGAGGAATTAAATACAGGGTCTGAGGGTGGTGAGGCCCAGGACTCTGATGCAGAAGAGCCGGAAGAGGGACATCAGGGGAGGGGGAATCCTGTAATTGCTCCTCAGGGTAGGAATTGATTCCTTAAGGCAACCCCAGAACCTTGGGCAGTTCCATTCTTCATGGAAGTCTTGTATAGGACAGGACAATCAGGGATGGGATATGTGGGAGAGTCCCTAGGTAGTTGTGGGTTTGCCAGGTAGGGCCTGTTCGGGGTACCAGCCTGGGGAGGTATCCTCTGTCTTCTCCAGTGTGGGGGGACTGAGCAAGAAGGTCCAGAGGGACTTGGCCATTTCCGAGTCTGGCTCTCTGAACCCCTCCTTTAGGGTTGCTAGATGGACCAGTGCCTTGAGGACAAGGCATAAGAGGACTGATGGCAGGGAATGAGGCCCCAAGTCCGGCTGGTGAAGCAATGTGCAGTGAGTTGGAGGGCGGTTGGGAACCACTAAAGTGATCGCCTTGTGAACTAGTTCCTGGGTCTCCACTTGAACACCTCCTGTAGGAGGAATGGGAACTGCGACCAAGAGGCCAGGATCACAGAATGAGAACTTGGGCTGACTATGGCCACTGATGTCCCTGAAACGTCCACCTGGAGTAGAGTAGCCCTCAAAGGACTAAGGAATAGGAAGGGAGGGCATAGGGCAGGGACGAAGCTATTGGGCAGTGATGCTAGGACCCTCAGGATCCTCAGTCCTCATTCCCCATGACCGCGAGTAGAACAGAAGCTGGGCTTTCGGGGTGGAGGTTGGGGTCAGGTGTTCACTTTCCCAGACAGCTTCACACAGGTTTCCTTGCAGAACTTAATGTATATACTCTGTCAAGTGCTTATATTCTCTGTAAGTGGTGGGCCTGCAAGCAGTAAGCACCTTCCTATTCCCTGTCTTCCCTTCTGGAGACGCATGGGTTTGAACTCAGATACTGCATGACGCATATGGATACTGGTCTCCCTCTGCCCCACAGATCCAAGTCTACCTGCTCCTAATCTGAGACCCTCTGAGCAGGTGGCCTGGCTAAAAAGGTTGTGACCTTAGAGGCCTAGGGAGGTGAGCAGCCTGTGCCCTGGAGCTAGCTGGTGGTGGGCATGGCCATCTGTTTTTTGCTTAGGGTCCAGAGGGACCTGGACCCTAAACACACACACACACACACACACACACACACACACACACCCCAGACACGGCAGTGGCCTTCTACCCATTCTCCTGCCAGTGTGATCCTGATAACTCATTTGTTCTGTCAGTTGTCTGAATGGCTCCCGCTGCCTTGAATGAAATGCAAACCCCCATGGTGGCCTTTAAGGCCCCTGTGGACCTCTTCAGCTCCCCAGCACCCAGGTCCCCTTCTCTGTGACCGGCTATAGACTGCTTCTCTGCATCTTGCTAAACAATTCCTATATGGTCCTTCATAGAAACTCCTCTCTCTTTACTAATTAACCCCTTCTTAGCTGCAGACCTCAAGGGAGACTCCTCTGACTCCCTGCTAAGGCTGTAGGCACAGCCCTAGGCCCTTAGCTGCCAGGATTCTTTATCTCATAGCTTCCTTACTGTTCTTAATTATTACATGTTTTAAAGACTATTCATCATTTATCTCCCACTAGACTGTGGGAAAGCTCCCTGTGGGCACCACTGCATTCCCAGCATGACACTAGGTGCTGGGCATGTAATAGGTGTTCAGTAAATAAAATGGATCTCAATACTTCGAATTTAAATTTGGATTTTCTAATTCTATCCTAAAGGCAGAACTCAGTTCAGTTCAACCTGGCAACTTGTTCAGCACCTGTTTGAGGCCCAGCCCTGGTCCCTCTCTCTGGAGCTTAGAGCTCAGCTGGCCTACTTTACCCTGACCCTGTTGTCTGCTTCTTCCCTCAGAAGAAACGGAGGATGTGAGTGAAGAAGCCCCAATGAGGGACCGCTCCCACATCGAGACCACCCTGATGCTGAATGAGGACAAGCCAGCTGATGATTACTCAGGTAACCAGAGAAGAGAGGGAGACAGACCAGCCCTGTGGCCAGCAGCCAGGCAGAGTCTGGGAGCAATAGAGCCTCACGGCTGTCACTCTGAAGCTAGAAGGGACCACAAGGAAGAGAAGAAACCTGGGAAGGGGGGGCGGTGCTATGTGAGGCATCTCCATGAGCAGAACCAACACCGGAGCCTCCAGGTTGGAAGGGAGGCAATCCAAGCTGAGCAACTACCACAAGGGCTAATGGCAAATCCCAGGGCCACCTCCATAGAATATGCCCACGTCTGTGCTCTGGCAGAGAGGATAGTTAATAAGAACTCAACTCATTTGTTTTGACTTTTAGTTTACAAGGCTCTTTCCAATCCAGTGTTTCATTTCATCATCATAATAACCTGAGAATTTCAGTAGGGCTTGTCCCATCTTAACTGATGAGCTAGCCAAGGTCAGAGCAAGGCAGCAATTTGTTCTTGGTGCACAGCCAGAGAGGAGCAGAGTGAGGGCCAGAGCCTCTCTAGCTTGTTTCTTGGTTCCTGAGCTCACTCTCCCAGGAAGACACCTAGGGATGACTGGGTCCAACCAGGGGCACTGGGGGTGCGGTAGGCAAGGGCTTGGGTAGCTGTGCTGTGGGCCTGCTGGGCACCTGGCCTCTTTGACCTCTGGGTCTAGGGCAGCACAAGCAGAGGCAGGCAGCAGAGATATAAAATAAATGGAATTCTCATTTTTCAAGGAGAGGACCTTCAGTTGGGCTGTAGGCTGAGCTAGTGTTTCCAGATACACTGTTGAGGTAGGAGGGAGAAAAAAGTTAAGTTTAAAAAAAGAACTCAGGAGGCTTTGCTGGGTAAGTAGGAGAATGCTTTTGCCTTCAGACATTGGGATGTGGACTAGTTCCCACCACAAAAGTGAGCATATCACACACTCTCTTGGGTTGCCAATGACCGTGCTCCCCACCAGACAGAACTGCCTAGGGTATGAGGTCACCCCACAGTGAAGGAGCTGCCTAGAGTCCACCTAGCCTGATAGTCTCCTCTTACCCCTCTTTGCCCCCAGCGGTGCTGCAGCGGCTTCGAAAGATCTACCATTCATCCATCAAGCCCCTGGAGCAGTCTTACAAATACAATGAGCTTCGGCAGCATGAGATCACAGGTACAGCATGGCCCAGAGTGGGGGCCACACCTCTGAACCATCCTGACTATGCCAGTGCCTACACATTTCACAAGTTCCATACGTGCTATGTTCAAGTACACCAGGGGCTGAGCTCTCCTGAGAATTGGGCAAGACAGGGACCTTAGTCCTGTGAAGCACCCATGTCCAGGAGGAGTGATAGATAGTGTACAAAGCATTGATAGATAGCATTTCATTGTTAAGCATTTATGTCTCAGTAGCACAGATTTTGATTTCTGGGACGGTGATGCCTGGTCAGGGAGCTTCTATTGCTCCTGTGTTCGTGAGCCCTCCAGGGCTTCCAATTCACTTGTGGATCATGTCTGAGTCCTCTGATTGGCCTGTATACCTCCCTTCCTACCTGTCATTCTTACCAGGTGGCTTGTGTTGGACTGGTGAAAATAATAAAAATGAGGCCTACTTCTTATAAAAAATTGTTTTAAAATAGTGCATAATAGTATAAATTGGGGGGGGGGGGGAAACACTTCCTTTCTTGATCTCTCACTCCTCCAGTTCCATTCCCAAAGATGCCCTGTTGTAGTCTCTCATGAATGCTTCCAGACATTTCCTCTGCAAACATGAGCATAGAGAAGTCTGTCTTTCTTTTACACAAATGGGGTGTATTGTGCCGTGTGTGTGTATGTGTGTGTGTGTAGATCCCTCTTCTTTCTGGTGCCTGCTTGGTCCTTTCGTGGTCCTCTCATGTTTTGTATAACCAGTATCCTCCTGATGGACATGGGGTGCTTTTCATTTTCCATTTTAAAAAATGTTCCAGGCATTACCATAATCGTATTTTATGTAAGTGTACTCGTAAGATGTTTTTTTAAAAAGTGCAATACTGAATTAAACATTTTGATACTTGTTGCCAAATTTCCTTTGACTATACCAATTGGTAAAGAACAGTAGATAAGCGAACTTATTCCCCCGCAGCCATGCCATTTTTAGTGTTACTCATCTTTGTGGTGCTGGTGATGGAACCCAGGGCCCTGAGCATAGTAGACAAGTGCTCTACCACTAAGCTACACCCCAGCCCTATTGCTGTTTTAATTGTGATATTGCAAATGTCTTCCTGTGTTATCTCACTTGATTCTCTCAAATAGCTATATAGTAGATAGGGTATTATCGGGTGTATATTATTGTTTTACAGAAGAGGAACCCAATGCCTAGGAAGCACTGTGTTTCCTGGGTCACACACATGGGATTAGGATGGAGACTCTGTATCTTCTCCCAGGGGAAACCCTGTTCTATAGCTTCCCATACTTCTTCTCACAATCCTAAGTAGTGCTCTTCTCTTTCACAGAGAACATAGAGACCTTGGTGTGAGGTTACAGTCTCCTAGTGGCTCTGCTCTGTCCTCCACACTTACCTTCTCTCCAGCCTTGACACCAAGAATGGTGTGGCACTCCCAGGAAACCCCAATCTTGAAAGCAGCAGAGGCCAGGAGGCTGCCGGTTGTCCCAGGAATGGTGCTCTGGAGGGAGGGTGTATGTTGCTGGCTCCTGGTCTCACTTTCTGAACTTGGCTCTTCTCCCCAAGTCCCTCGCCAGTTTCCTGCATGACCTCCTGTCTCTGGCACTCTTTGCTGGTCTCTCCCACACATGCCCGTGATGCCCCCCTGCTGTTGAGAGTAGGAACAGCAGAACCTTGTCTGGGGTCTGTCTCAGAACCTGCAGATCTGCAGGGCCCGCCTTGGCCTCCCTCACCCCCACCCCCACCTCCACCTCAGGGCCTGGGTAAAGAGACTTTTGTGAAGTCTCTATGGCTATAACTGGGAATACCTGTCACCTCCCTGCCTGCCCCAGCCAGATGGGGACCTCTGTGTATTTACAGGCAGGGAGGGAAGGGGTATGACCATGGTATCCCTTCCAGGCAATGTATATGTGCCTGCATTCATAAGACATAATCTTCTAGGACTTAGCTTCACTCCAGAGAAAGAAAACCAGTGCATAAAACATCCAGGTGCAGAAGAGGAAGTACTGTAAAAAGACAGAGGGGAACATGATATAGATAAACACTGCTATATATGCATTGAGATAGCGGAAAAAAATATGTTAGAAATTAGCAGTGGCATCAGACACAGTGGCACATGTCTGTAGTTCCAGCTACTAAGAGTTTGAGACCAGCCTGAGCAATATACTGAGACCCCTGTCTCCAAAAAAAAAAAAAAAAAAAAAAAAAAAGACATTGAGCAGTGGTTACCTATTAGAGATGGTGTTGTGGCCCAGGGAGATTGGGGATAGGGATGGAGGTTTTTTTCATTGTGTATCTTTTTATACTTCTGATTTTTGAGCCAAGGACTTAAATAAAAATATAAGAATAAATGAAAGAAATAAAAAGGAGGATTTTAGTATTCTATGCAAGCTCAGGGAGACAGAGACATCTGAAGACTTAATTATGTAGGACTGATTATTCAGAGAAAAACTGAGAGAGGTACTGAGGAGGCCTGCAAATCAGCAGTGGGACTGACTGCATCTCATGTCAAAAGCCTCTCACCCTCCCCTCCCTGTTGTGTGTGTGGTACTGGGGATGGAACTCAGGTCCTCACACAGGATAGGCAAGTGCTCTACCCTGAGCTACACCATCTTTGCTTTTTATGCTCCCTAGCATGGACTCTAGAAGGTCCTTGTACACAGGGCCCTAGAACTCTAATATACCCTGTTCAGTGTTTGGTCTTGGACAAAGGCAAATCTGTAATGGAATTTGGACACTAATAGTAGAGACTGGCCCTAGAGCCCAGGGTTGAGTTAAGCCTAAGGTGAGGATTTGGGGAGCCAATGAAGAAAACTGTAGAGCTGGGGACAAGGCAGGTCCAGAATTCAGATGGTCCCAGATTGTATAAGTTTCTTCCATGTCCTTTCTTTCTCTGTTATCAATTTGGGTTACAGTTGTAACTTCTCTCCTTGTAGAAGCTCTTTCCTTCCTTTTTTATGAATTGTTCTCCCAGAGTAAGCACTAAACCAGTGCTTGTGGAATTCACTTAGCTCCTCCTTCTGGTGCGGGCAGATATGCCAAGGATCTGGGCAAGGTCAACACAATAACTTCTTTTAAATAAGTGATTGCATTTACAGAGCAAGAGAAGTGCCACTGATGGCTGCACAGAACCAGTGCACACAGAATCCCTCAGTTCAGTTGGATGATGGTCAGGGATGCAGAGTGCTTTAGAGAACAGTGTCACCCCTACAGTAAGAGCGATTGTTCTTTCACTTCCATTTCTCATCCCTGTTGTCTACAGATGGGGAGATCACTTCCAAGCCAATGGTGCTGTTCCTGGGACCATGGAGCGTTGGTAAATCCACCATGATAAACTACCTTCTTGGGTTAGAAAACACTCGCTACCAGCTCTATACAGGTAAGAGATTTTTTTTTATGTGATTGTTAGTATTTGAATGTCGTATGTAAAAGTACTATGAAAGATTAAAACATTTATATAGTCTTCAATAATAATTAAAAATACATACAGGAAACTGGTAGCTACACCAGTGTTCATAGCAGCATTATTTAAAGTAGCCAAAAAGTGGAAATAATCTACAAGTCCACTGATGGGTAAATGGACAGTCAAAATGTGGTTTGTTCATATAATGGTATGTCACTTGGCCTTGGAAAGGGATGATTGTGCTATGAGAATGTATCAGATACATCTGACAGATGCTCTAACCTTGATGAAGCTTGAAAGTAATATGCTAAGTGAGAGAAACAAGAAACCAAAGGTCAAATATTGTATGATTCCACTCATATGAGGTACCAACAGTAGGAAATTTTGTAGAGAAAGTAGAATAGTGGTTGCTAGGAGTTGTGAGGAAGGAGAAAAGGGAGTTACTGTTTAATGGACACAGAGTTTCCGTTTGGGAATATTGAAAAAGTTCTGGAAATGGTGGTGATGGTTGCACTACAATGTAAATGTGCTAATGCCATTAGGAAAGAAAGAAAGAAAGAAACAAGTAGCTTGGCAAACATGTCCTGCCCTTGTGGCAAACCCTCCCTGAAAAGTCTTGCTCATTCACCTTCTTTGCAGCCATCTGTTTCTCAGAGATGACTGTTTTCCTGCAATCTCACCTCACCCTGCATGTAGGTGCTGAGCCCACCACATCCGAGTTCACGGTACTGATGCACGGGCCCAAGCTGAAAACCATCGAGGGCATTGTCATGGCTGCTGACAGTTCCCGGTCCTTCTCGCCCCTCGAAAAGTTTGGCCAGAATTTTCTGGAGAAGCTGATTGGTATTGAGGTTCCTCACAAACTTCTGGAGCGGGTCACTTTTGTGGATACACCAGGCATCATTGAGAATCGCAAACAACAAGAAAGAGGTAAGTTAGCACCCATTTTTGAATAGCAAGAGCTCTGTCTTAGAAAATTACTTGAGAAGGAAGTTTGGCCAGTGTTGCCAAAGACCAGGAGGTGCATTTTTTACCTCCACTTTCTTCTCCTTGTCACTGGGGTGCCACTGGGTTTTGGAGTGCCTCATCTTCCTACCTCCCCAAGGACTGATTTGGTTTGAAGATGGTCATTATTTTCCCAGAAGGAGAACTAGTTTTCTCTGCAAGAGCTCCAAGAGATCTATGCTATGACTGACTCGTCTTTGGGAGGCCCAGTCTGTCCTGGGTAGTCAAGGGCCTGGACTAATCAGATCCCAGTCAGGTATATTTAATTTCTGGCTAAACTGGGCCTGGGGCTCCCGGGCTTGCTCTGGGTTGCACCTGACGTTCGAGTCTTCCTAACTCCCAGTTTCTGTGTACTCAGTTCTGCTTCTGTCTAAGCTTTTATCAGACTTTCTAGGATCCTGCTTGCCTTCAGGTGTCAGGGGAACACCACTTTGGGCCTGGCAAGCCTGAGGCCATGGCATAGGCTACTATGTACTGTCATGACACTGGCCTATCTGCATTGATGAGTCCTAAACAGGGCAGTTGTAGAAACATGTGACCAGATGCCTGATTTAAGTTTATGGTTATGACCATCATTTGGGTTATAACTAGATCCTGTTTTATTGGTGATGATATTATCACTCACAATTATAAAAGTAAATTAACCTTATTGTACCCCCAATGTATATCCAATTATACACTGGATAATTTTATGCATTATTGGTTGGTCATTGTAAAAAAAAAAAAATGCAGGGCTGGGGTTGTGGCTCAGGGGTAGCACGCTTGCCTAGCATGTGTGAGGCACTGGGTTAGATTCTCAGCACCACATATAAACAAATAAATGAGTAAAGGTCCATCAATAACTAATAAAAATTTTAAAAATGCAATGTTTTCAAGATAGGTATTCCTCATCTCATTTTGTAAATAAGAAAATCGAGGAAATAAGAAGCAAAAGGAGTTAAAATATATTGGGCACCACTATATGACTGGCAGCTTTGATTCTGTGCTTTCCTGTTCATCACAATATAATAATCTTCTCATCAGTTTTGAAGTTACTGCTTTTCTTGTATTGTAGGTAAGGAGCTAGAGCTTAGGAGCATTTGCTATCCAGCTGTCCAGTGGCAAAGCCCAAATTCTGTCAGTCTTAACACTGGATCCTTATTTCTTTCTCCTAAATCTTGCATCCTCTATCACGTTCTTCCAATTCCCTGACTTCCTTAACAGTTTTTCCATTGCCCTAGATTTTTTTAGACAGTTGGAAAATCTCCACTTTGAACAAGTATTTTAATTCCTTAGAGACTTGGATTCCACTGTAGATGAAAGGAAGGATCAGGCTGTTCTTGGTTAGAGATTGACAAAGAGCAGGAGATATGCAATTAATTCTTTAGTAGTCTTTAGAAACTCAGAAAATCCCTAGAGCATGAACTTTCAGCCCACAGAATGATTTGGTTCTGAAGGGAGGTATGCGGGGCTTTGCATGAGCTCCACCAGCTTGACTTCTCACTCTGTCTCCTCAAGGATACCCCTTCAACGATGTGTGCCAGTGGTTCATCGATAGAGCCGACCTCATCTTTGTTGTCTTTGACCCCACCAAGCTGGATGTGGGTCTGGAGCTGGAGATGCTCTTTCGCCAGCTGAAGGGACGTGAGTCTCAGATAAGGATCATCCTGAACAAGGCTGACAACCTGGCCACACAGATGCTCATGCGAGTGTATGGGGCCCTCTTCTGGAGCTTGGCCCCTCTCATAAATGTCACAGAGCCTCCAAGGGTTTATGTCAGCTCCTTCTGGCCACAAGACTATAAACCTGACACTCACCGGGAACTGTTCCTCAAAGAAGAGATCTCCCTTCTAGAAGACCTGAACCAGGTGATTGAAAACAGGTTGGAGAACAAGATTGCTTTCATCCGCCAACATGCCATTCGGGTCCGCATTCATGCCCTCTTGGTTGACCGCTATCTGCAGACTTACAAGGACAAAATGACCTTCTTCAGTGATGGAGAACTGGTCTTTAAGGACATTGTGGAAGATCCTGATAAATTCTACATCTTTAAGACCATCCTGGCAAAGACCAATGTTAGCAAGTTTGACCTTCCCAACCGAGAGGCCTACAAGGACTTCTTTGGCATCAACCCCATTTCCAATTTCAAACTCCTTTCTCAGCAGTGCTCCTACATGGGAGGTTGCTTTCTGGAGAAGATAGAGCGGGCCATCACCCAGGAGCTTCCCAGCCTCCTGGGTAGCCTCGGGTTGGGGAAGAATCCAGGTGCTCTCAACTGTGACAAAACAGGGTGTAGTGAAACCCCAAAGAATCGCTACAAGAAGCACTAGATAGTGTGTAGCTCTTCTCGGGTCCCTGTTGGTGAATGAGCTTGTGTCTGAGAAGTCCTGGTTTATTAACCCTTTGAGCCACACTGGTGAGAATCAGTACACACTGGAGATTTGGGAGTTTTGTTGAGGCCTGTGGTAGGTGAAGGTGTGTGGGTCTAGGAAGGAGAGCGGAAACTGTGAATTATAGTGTGCTTTTCTTGTTGCTTCAGTTAGGAGGCCTGATTGGGGCAAATCAGGCTCTACTTGCTTTTCCTGGGTCCTGTCTTGAAGGGACAGAGAGCAGCTAAATTCTAGTGTATACTAAATGAGGGTCAAATAAGCTAAACACAGCCTGAGTGAAGAGGGCTCTCAGGTCCATGTTGGCTCCTTCCACACACGGTCTTCTGTTTGTTCCCCAAACCTCCTCTACTCTCTCCCAAGCTTGGGCTGACTTTCAAAGGCAGATAGCCTCTTGGATCTAAATTTACCTGAATTTTGAGCCTGTCCCAAGTACCTCTTCACTGTTTCTCCATAACACTGAGAGAGAACAAGAGTGCCTAGGTCAGGGTGAGGATCTGCCTCCCAAATGCCATTTCTGTGATGTCCCAGCTGGGGAGATCAGACCCATCACTGGCCCCAAGAGGTGGTGAGTGGGTGGTGGCCTCAGGCTGTTCCCTCTTGGATGTAACTTAAGTGAGGGTACTGGAAGGGCTCAGAGGGTTAATTGGTTTGCAGTGTGTCTTTGTCTATTGCATGTCTTGGAAAACTCAGATCCCAAAGGTGTTGGGTTTCAGAGTGGACAATGGAGACTTTGTTCCTTGTCCTTAGGGACTTTGCTGGGCAGTCAGCCTCTCCCAAATTTAGGAAGAGGCTGTTCCACAATTTCTCTGTGGAAGCACTTGGCAGAAAAGTTGTTTCTTCAGTTTTCCCATTACTATGGCTTTTCCTTTCTTTTCTTCTCCATTCCCTGATATACCAACACTTAAACCAGAGAAACTTCCTACGATGAGAACCAGCACCAGCCATCTGGCATCAGTGGCAACTGAAGCTTAGGGTTTAGCGTCCACCTGTCCTTGACATGGATAGCTGTGGACTGTACCACAGGACATCCAGGGCTTTCAAACACCAGTGAGTGTGGATATGTGTGTACATCATCCAAGAGAGGTCAGGAAGATGACAAACCTGAGGCCACAGAGAAAGAACTCATCATGAGAGTCCTGCATGGCCGGCAAGCACTGTCCCCTCGGAGGGGCACAGAGACCCAATGGATAAGTGCCCTTTGAAGGGAGCATGTACTGTGAGATGTGTGCATACAGGGATAGCCCAGGCCTGCCTTGAAGGGCTCCTTTTGATGGACACATCTGGCCACTCCTCTTGGGAGCAAGCTATCCTTGGGTCCTTAATCCTGTCCTGGGTCAGGACCCACCAGCACTGAGTAGTCATCTGGATCAGAAGGAAATTTTGAGAAAAAGGTTGATTAGGAAATGTAAGTAGATTGGTGATCAGATGGGGTCCAGAAAGAACCCCAATTTGATTTAGTATTGCTCAGAATTCGGAGCAGTCCCATGCCTGCTGCAAGAGAGGCTGCTGCTTTGGACTTTATGGAGGACTCAGATCCTCTCACGGACAGCCAGAGCCTCCAAACCCACCAGGACACTGTTTCAAGGAGCAAGCCAACTGGAAAAGAAAAGCGAGTTCTGTAAGGGACACCCATGAAGCCTGGTAGCTGGGGCAGATGAGTTGCAATCTGTCCTTGGACTTTTCTTCTCCCCCAAATGAACAACCCCAACCCCTTGGCCTCACTTCCAAACCACTTATCCTCTTGGAAGACTATCCCTCCTGCCTGTCTCTTTCACACTGCTCATCCCTGTTGGTTGCTTTTGGTGAATCTGTTTTTTTTCTTAATGCAGTCAGGGAAATAAAAAGTTCAGGACTATATGGGCCTTTTTTTAGCTGTGATGTCACCATAATTTTGGGAAGCAGGGGGGATGAAGCTAATCAGTTCATGCAGTATTAGTATTTTGGGGGGGCTATATTATCAGTGTGTCCTCCCACTTTTGGATTTTTCTTTTCTCCATCTATTTTCCTTTTCTTTTTTCTTCTTTCTCTCCATTCTGTTCCTCTCCTCGCTGTCTGCCTTACCTTTCCTTGACTGCCCACAGGCCTGTTGATCAATCAACACAGGTTCTAAGTGCCCGTTCTTTGCCCAGCTCCGTGGAGGATTCTGACTCTTAAAGATGATGGGGCTGGGAACTGGGGAAACTTGGGACCCAGAGATTCCCCAAGAGGGGTCCCTGTGAATATTTGTGGAGGAATAGGGGCTGACCCTTTCCAGTGACCTTTAGATTCTGACTTTACCAGGGAGAATATTTCAATAAAGTTCCTATCTCTTTAACATCTTCTCCTTCCTGATTGTCTCCAGCAAGATGAATCTCTGATCTTGCTTTTTTATGTAGGAGAATGTACTCATTTTCAGATTTCTTGGGGATAGGTTGGGAGTTGATAAAGTGCTTATTCTTGGTTTGGATGCTTTCTGGCACCCTCCTTTGGTAGCTCCCTCCTGCTTCCAGCCTCCCAGGTATTCAAGATGGCTTGTTCTTTCAGCAGTTGCCGCAGTCTGGCTGGGCACAATCAGGAGCCACTTGTCAAAAGAAACTAACTTTATTTTTAGAACCACACACGACAAACAAAATAGTCTCTCAGGAAAAACCCTCAGAGCCTCAACTGCCACCACCGGCTTTCCCCAAACCTCTCTCTCCCACACAAGCTTCTCTCCACCTCCCACCATCCTCCTGCTCTTGAGGCCGATTGGCTGGGTCACGTGGGCGGAGCCAAAAAAGTCCCCCAATGAGCAGCTCCGTGGTCTGAAAGGGCAGGGAAACAGTCCAATGAGCATCACCGCAGAGGAGCCAATCAGCTAGATGTTGCTGGGGCCGAGGAGCCAATCAGCTAGATGTTGCTGGGGCCGCTGTGAGCCAATCATCAGCCAGCAGCTGGAAGTTTGCTGGCAGCTGGAAGTTTGCTGGGGCCCCTTTGGCTGTGGCTCTCAACATCTCCCCCTCTCTGTTTAAACAACAAGCATGTGGCTTAGGGACCGTGCCTGTTAGGCAGTCCAATTCAACATATGGTCCTTACCCGTCATCGGATGAACTGACCTCTAGGCGTCAGCCTCCTGTCTTAGGTTGGTACCACTGCAATTGGATCATACCCGTCACTGACTACCGGTCCAGCATACAGCCATACTTGTGGATAGGCCTTTGCACCTGTGGGGGGGTGAGGTTCTTTGCCTCACCTCTGTTGGCCCCCAAATTTTAGACCATCACTAGTAGAGGAGGATGCAAAATGCCATGACATTAAGCCAATTGAGGGCTCCTTTGAAAAATTGTACCACCGGTGACATCATCAGCAAAAATACTCCAGCACTACCACAATTCGTTGTACCAACAGATAGTTCACAATGCATACAGGTGAGCTCACAATGTGTCCAGGCAAGTTGTGCAAGCAGTTCAGTGATGGCTATTGTAGAAGCTGTAGATTGGTTTTATCTTTGACTTCACCAGCACTGGGATGAAGATAGGAATTCTGGCAATAATGGCTAAAGAAAAAATTATGTAACATTACAGAAGGCACTAAAAGAAAACAATTTTCTTAACAATTTACATTGTCTTCACCGGCACTGGGATGAAGATAGGAATTCTGGCAATAATGGCTAAAGAAAAAATTATGTAACATTACAGAAGGCACTAAAAGAAAACAATTTTCTTAACAATTTACATTATCTTTAAGAGAATTATTAAATATAATGAAAAGGAAAGGTGAAAGTAAACAGATCTGTTAACCTTCTTTTTTGTTTACATATTAAAACAATCCTCAACAGTTGTTTACCCAATTTAAATTAAACCATATAAATCACGTGAAAAAAAAATATTTGGATCCATTTTATCATGAGCGCTCATCATATATGATATATGGACATACGTACATTCAAACATATAACACAAAACACAAGTGTGCACACATAATATAATACATACAACACATAACATTATAGTAAAGGCCTTATAACTTTTTACAGGTGAAATCTCCATTGCAATGCTTAAAAACTCTATAGTCAAAAAATAGAACTGATCAGCAAACCATTAACCTAGGTCTGTATGAGCTCAAAAAACAAAATAGAACTTCATGATATGGCAAAGGGCAATAATAAAATAGATATTGAAAAAAGCATCCTGGTTCTGTTGCAGATGTAAGAATAGCCAAACTGGAGTTTTGGACATCAGTTGTTATGGATTTGAGCCAAATCGTCTTCTTTTTGGTCTGTAGAAATCGCTTTAGTTAATCTTTCTGGAATCCAAATCGGCTGCTGTTCTCCCTGTGGAAACACATAAACAGACCCCCGACTCCAGACAATCACTGGGTCAGGACCTTGGTTAATCTCTCTGGAATCCAAATCGGCTGCTGTTCTCCCTGTGGAAACACACAAACAGACCCTCGACTCCAGACAATTACTGGGTCAGGACCTTTCCATTGTCCTGTTAGAATATCCTTCCAAAGTACCTTGGGCTTATGTACATTTTTTGGACACATATGCCTTTCCGCAGCACTAAGTCCTGATGAATCCAAATTTAAAAAGTTTAGAGTAAAAAGGGTTATTTTAAGTTTATCTTTGGGGAATATATACCCCTTCCCAATTCCTTCTTTTTGCTTTAATAAGTACATTTTAATAGTTTGATGAGCTCTTTCAACTATGCCTTGTCCCTGTGGATTGTATGGGATTCCTGTTATATGAGTAATGCCAAATGTTGAGCAAAATTGTTTAAAAGAGGTAGAAGTATAACCAGGGGCATTATCTGTTTTTAACTGTTTTGGAACACCCACAGTGGCAAAATTTTGTAAGCAATGAGCTATAACATCTTTAGTTTTTTCTCCGGCATGAAGGGAGCCCATCAAAAATCCAGAAGAAGTATCAACTGTAACATGCAAATATTTTAATTTTCCAAATTCTGGCAAGTGTGTGACGTCCATCTGCCAAATATGGTTAGGTATCAATCCTCTAGGATTGACTCCAAGATTAACTTGTGGTAAAAAGGTCACACAATTTTGACATTGTTTTATTATTTGTCTAGCTTGTTCCTTAGTTATTTTAAAACGCTTTTGTAAAGTATTAGCATTGACATGGAACTTTTTATGAAAATTTATAGCTTCTTCTAGTGTAGAGAAAATATGTATGTCATGTGTAGTTTTATCTGCTAAATCATTGCCCAAACTAAGGGCTCCAGGCAATCCTGTATGTGCCCTGATATGTCCTATAAAGAATGGATCTTTTCTGTCCCAGATTAGACTTTGTATAGTGGAAAGCAAAGAGAAAACAGTAGAAGAAGGGGAAATCCTACCAGCATCTTCAAGAGATACTATAGCATTAACTACATACTGACTATCAGAAAATAAATTAAATACAGAATCTTTAAACATCACAAAAGCTTGTAAAACTGCATTAAGCTCTACCTTTTGAGCTGATTGTTTGGGTACTAAAAATGTAAATGTTTGATCAGGGGTAACGACTGCTGCTGTACCATTATTTGACCCATCAGTGAATATATTTGGAGCATTCATGATAGGTGTTTTTCTTGTCATTTTTGGAAAAATTACAGGATGCAATGACCAAAAAGACAATAAAGGATTAGATGGTAAGTGGTTATCAAATGAAACATTAGATTTACACATGATTATTGCCCAAGTATTTAACTCATTAGCTAACTCATCAATTTGATTCATAGTATATGGAGTAATAATTTTATTGGGAGAAATTCCAAACACTCCCTTTGCTGCTTTTATTCCTTTGAGTATTAATTGTCCTACAGCCTCAGGATACCTAGTAAGAATAGTGTTAGGAGAATAAGATAAATGTATCCATAATAATGGACCTTCTTGCCAAAATACTCCTGTAGGAATATTTTTTGTTGGTAGTACAATAAATAATAAAGGCAAACTTATATCAATTCTATCCAAATGCATATTTTCCATATATGTTTCAATGATTTTTAATGCCTTTCTTGCTTCAGGCGTTAACATTCGGGGTGAATTTGGATCTGATGGACCTTTTAGGATATCAAATAAAGGTCCCAACTCTCCTGTTGGTATACCTAAATAAGGCCTTATCCAATTTATGTCTCCTAATAACTTTTGAAAGTCATTAAGTGATTTGAGTTGATCTATTCGTATTTGAATTTTTGGTGGACGGACCATGGTTGAGGATAATAGAACTCCTAAATAATTAATTGGAAAATTTAATTGTACTTTATCTATTGCTATCTCTAGATTATAATTTTTTAATAAGTTTGTAAGTGTGGCATAACATTCTAGCAATGTGTTTTTATCTTTGTGTGCTAATAATACATCATCCATATAGTGAAATATTTGTAGTTCAGGATTTTGATTTCTAAGTGGCTGGATTACTTTGTTAACATAAATTTGACACATAGTTGGGCTGTTAGCCATCCCTTGAGGGAGTACTTTCCATTCATATCTCTGATCAGGACCTTCATGATTCAGTGCAGGGATAGTAAATGCAAAACGTGGACTATCCTCAGGATGAATTGGAATTGAAAAAAAAACAATCTTTAATATCTATAACTAAAACATACCAGGTTTTTGGCAAAGCAGACAACTGAGGAATCCCTGATTGAGCAGGTCCCATAATAACCATCTCATTATTAATGGCTCTTAAATCTTGCAATAATCTCCATTTACCAGATTTCTTTTTGATGACAAAAATGGGAGTATTATGGGGAGATACAGAAGGTTGTATATGTCCTTCTGCTAATTGTTGTTTGACCAGGTCATGGGCTGCTTGTATCTTTTCTTTAGTCAGGGGCCACTGAGGAACCCATACTGGTCTTTCTGATTTCCAAGTAATTTTTATTGTCTCAGTGGCCCTTTCTGAAAATCCAACCCATGTCTGTCTGTTCCTTGATCTATTTGTATTGGTGCTGCTATACCTTGTTCTTGTTTTTCTAATCTTTTTCCTTTCCTAAAACCTTGTCTAGTCATAATAGTGGGTGCATTTTGGTTGATGTTATTTGTTAATGTCAAACCTAATTGATCTAGGACATCTCGTCCCCATAAATTTACGGGAAGATGATCCAATACATATGGCTGTATAGTTCCTTCACATCCTTCAGGATCCTTCCAATCTAATACCATTGCACTTCTATGGGGATTAGTCGCCACTCCTAGGCCTCGAAGCGTTTGAGTGGCTTGTTGTAATGGCCAATGTTTTGGCCATTCTTGACGAGAGATGATGCTAAGGTCTGCACCTGTATCCAGTAGCCCATTAAATTCATGTCCTTGAATATTTAGTTTTAGCATGGGGCGAGAATCTAAATTTAAAGAAAG